AAGGGCTGTCACTTCCAAATATGTGGAGTGAGAACAAATTATTTTATGATGGGCACGTATTCCTGTGTTTTCTAGTTGTGTGTAACAGGATGTGTCAGGCTCACCACTTTTGAGAGAATCAAATGCTTCAAGCCAGTTATACTTGCAACTTGTTAACTCTCATAGTTAACAAAAAGCTTTAAGTTATACATCCAAGTCAAAAGTGCGCATTTGATTTCCCTAATATAAACACTGAACCTCTGACTTTTGTTCTGAAATGTTGTAAATAGAATTTAAAATTTTGTTTAGAATCTCTCAAATTCTTTATTTTTATTATTTTCTGACCTTAAAAATGGGGACAGTAATAATTTCTTGCTCTAGGTGCTAATCCATGTCTGGAGACAGCACTGAATATCTTCAGGTAGGAAAAACAAATTAGGGAAAAGCATAATTATTGTTTAAAACAAACTAACTTACATTTATCACCAGCCTGACTACATCAGGATTTTGTTGTTGTTCCTCTTTTTAAAAAGAAGAAAGGTTGCTCTGGAAAGCCTCCCATGCTTTCTGGGCTCAGGATTAATCTCAGTTATAGGGAGGTACTACTTGAACAAGCTGCCTGCCTCACTGCCAAAAACATACCTGGTAGAAGTTATTGAAACTGTCCCCTCACCCCCCCAACATTAATGAAAAGGCTAATCTTCTCTAAGTCTCTTCTAACCTAGCAATCTCTTAAGGGGCTGGATCCGTGATTAAAAAACAGAGGGAAAGCAGCTGTCTTTTTATCCTCTCTTAATTATTCCTTGGTAGTCGATAGGTGTTGATTTCCTAGGAGTGTCATGGTGATGGAGGTTACGTTTCCCTGTGTTGTTGGGACTAAATGTTCAGAGGGGGGTTAGTTGGTTGAATGCTTCAGGGGGAGCTTTGGAGATGGAAAGAGTGAGTCTTGTTCTCTGGGATTTCATCTGATCATGGAAGGGCTGCCTTTTATTTGGAAACATGCACCTAAAGGCCAAAAAACAGCTATCCAATGTCAAGGCAAGGAAGGCCTCTTTAATTAACCTTTTTTCTTTTTTTGTTTTTTCTTTCTGGTGTATCTCACCAGCTGGTGGACAGGAGGGTTTTAGAAAGAGTTTAATTAGAAAGTCAAAAATAATACCTTTTTTTTTCCTGCTGTAACTTGGTCTATAAACTCTAGTAAGTCTTGCAGGATTGTTCTTTCACTGCTCTCCCCAGTCCTCGTTGCTTCATTTAAAAATATGAGTCCCTAAATTCTTACTAGTAAATTCTGGACATGGCTGGAGCTGGTTGTGAGTGTTGTACTTGCATTTTTAATGAGTTTACAATATTGCAGGTTTTTTATGAGCATCTACTGCTCCTTCTGATGCCCCTACTGATTTGCTTGTTTAATTAAGTAGGGGACAAGTGCAAGAGGGGTAATAGCCTTCTGTCCTCCAGCCCTGCTCTATCCCACTTGCAGTGGCAATGATTGTCAGTCACCTTGTTACTGTGTTACTCTGTAATTGCAGCTACCTTTTCTTCAAATGTTAGGTTCAGCGAGATTTAACTTCCAGCCCAAGAAATAAGCCACCTGACATCTGAGAATGGATTACTCTCAGTGCCCCGGCAATACCTACATCCAGTGACGTTAATCTGTGCCTCAGTTTCACCATTTTTAGACTTAGGAAAATTAATCTTGCAAGAAAGCAGGAGAGAGATGAGATGTTTGGGAAGGATTCGAAGTCATTATTTAGATGAACAGAGGGACATAAGATTAGAGGATGTTTCTTACTTCTAAAACAGGCTAAGTATTCAAGGTAAAGATTTTCACTTTTAATATTTTTTTAAATGAAAAGCCAACAATAAGCAAATAACTTTGACTATGAATCTGTCTGGTTTCTCTTCTGCAGCCCTCTGTTTCACACAGCTGCCATGGGAATATATGATGTGAAGAAGCCTGATGGTGGGATGGGATTCATATGGGTCTGGATGTGTATTTTAAAGTAGAATCTTGGGCCCAAGCGCATTCAGCTGATCATTTGCTTGCATGCATGCAAACTTGTTATTTCTTTGGCTAATTCTTCTAGGCTGGAAAGATATTTCAGTGGTGAGCTGTGCCTTCTGGATATGTTGCTACACACATCACAAATTGCTCTTAGTCTGAACTCTTGCAGCTGAAACACCCTTCCCCAGGCTGAAAATAGCAATTGGGCTATTCCCACTAGCCAACCACAGGTAACTACTCTCATTTTGGAAAATGTGGTTGCAGGCATCTGGAGCTTTGGTAACATAGTTATAAAATCAAAATTCAAACTGTATGGAAGTCAGGTATTTTAAGAGATTAGATTTGTGGTGGTTTGGTTTTTTTTTCTTCTAGGACACAAGACTTTCAAGCAGCATGCACCTTGTGTGAGTGATAACTGTAAGCACCTAAGTGTAAGTTACTTTTAGTATCTGAAAGTGCATTTTACTATCGTGCAGGATGCAAATTTTAGTATGATACTCCAAAGCAAATGCCTTCGTGTTTCTCCCTTAGGGACGCTAGCTGTAAAAAAACCCAGTCTTATTGATGAAAAACTTGCTTCCCAGCCCATTACTGGAATGGGTCCATTATTCCTTCCTTCCATATGTCCTTCCTTCTCCACAGCTCTGTCCCAGGAGTGCTTTGGGCAAGCAATGCACTCAGGGCAGTACCTCCCTTCTTTTGCTTTTTGGCTGCCTCCATTTCCAATCCACCTTTGCTAAGCATATGCTTTACCTCTAGCAATTCACCAATGTCCGCTGGTGAGACAGCGTTTCAATTGTCATTTTGAAACCCTTCCACCAGCATGAACTGTTGTCGCTTTTATGCATGCTTTTGATTTCCTTTAAGCTCTAAGCATCTTGAGGAAGGCAGTTTAGATCTGATTTTTCAAAGGCTCTAATCTGGTATCATTCTACTTAAAGCCCTGTGGGAGTGGTGGGCAGTCAGTACTTCTGAAAACCATGCTGCTTCCCTTTTGGTTTAGAGCTGTCTGAAAAACTGAAGTTGTTGAACTGAAATACACAGTACTTCAACCAGCTCTGATTTGGGTGTTTATTTATATTTATAATATAATGAAACTAAAAGCAGTCTCACATAGTCTCCTATGCCATTCGATCACATGCAGAGAAAAAATCACAGTAGTAGCTTCTCTCTCCTCTGAGCATTTGGAAACATAAAGAGAACCCAAACATAAACATATTCCATGTTACACAAACATACTACCTGAGATACAATTATTTTTCCAAATGCAAAGTGGCACACTTCCAAGTACCTAAATATCTTATAGATTTTGAAGTACATTCTTCAGTTGTTCGACAGTGAAAGTGGGCCGGATATTAACTAGAAGTTGCTATTTGACACCTTCTAGTGTAATTCACAAGGTGAGTTGACTAAGACAGTAATCTAGGTAATTTTTGTTATGAGTTGACAATTCAAAAAAAGTTACATGAAGGCTGAAAAGAAGAGAGAGAAGATGTGCTAGAGTGTGAAGTTTGAAAGTAGCATGATGTAGATGTAAACATACCTCAGACCTGTCTAGGTTGCAATGGTGCTGAGATTGCTGGGAATTGAGGGTTGTCTTCTAAAGTCTCCCATTCTGCAGAACATCACATCGCTGCACACCTGCAGCTGTGCAGTTTTGAGGACTTGCAGCCAGTATCCTTACTCTGTGTAGGGCTTAAGGGATCAGTAGGACTACTTGCCAAATAAGGTGCCGTACAACACAAATAAGATCAACAAGCTCTGGCCCTTGCTGCTTAGGTAGATGGTATCTCTCAGGTTTTTTAACTGCAAGATCTGTTGAGCATTGTCAAATGATGGATTTAACTTAAATTCTGTTTTACAAAGTTTGCCAGACTCTTTCTTGTCTTTATAAACCCCATCAGTGATCCACCAAGTCATTTCACCTTTTAGAAAGAATCAGAAGCACAGGAATTCAACAGGGGCTATTGAATTAAACGAATGCAAAGTTCTCAATAAGTAGCCAGAAAATATATTTCTCTAAAAATGACTTCCAACAGTATGTTTTCATAATCAAGTCCCTGACTATGTCATGTCCAACAGGCCAGAAATTTCAGACACTGTTGGAGCTAGATGCATCAGGAGAAATGAGGCACTCAAATGCCAAAGTCCAGTGTTTACGGATCACCGGTGTTCACGTGGCCTCCACTTAACCCCTTAGCATGGAACTGAACCCAGGTCTCTCACATCCTTGGTTGAGTGCCAGAATTGTTGGACTTCTCAGTAAGACGATGGCTTCTTTTTGGAGGGTATGTGCGGTTGGACTAGGCTTGTCAGAGAAGGTCTCAGCCTAAGGCGAGAGGGAATGCCTGTTTTAGGGATGCTGAGGGAGCTCTTGTATGAGATGGATGCTGAGCAGATCAGCAATGCCAGGCCTCAGGCAGTTAGGCTCACACCCAGCCCCAGAAGCATGGGGTCTGTCCCCGGAAATGGAGCCAGAGGCATGTTCAGCTGCTTGTGAGGTGCAGCAGGGGTTTTGTGAATGACAGTGAGACCAAGGGATGGACACAGTAGGCATCGACAGTGGAGTGTAGGGACGATACCTTCTCCTTGTACATTGCAACCTTGGTGCAGAAGGGTTTCTTACTATTACATTTTGATTTAGGAACATAGAGGAACGAGGTTAATTCGTTTATTCAACACACCTGCTGAAAATATTTTAAGACTACCTTCTCTGGGTAACTATCTTGACTGTTACCAGCTCCTTCAGTTAGAGTCCGCATCAGCATGAATGCAATTTCCATGCATTGTTTCAGTCTGGAAATGAAACAATTTTCATTAATGGAAACCTGGTTCTCAAGCAGAACAATTAGACCCACTTCAGGTTGAAAAAAGATAAAAGCATGCTAATTTGGATGGAGGACTCTTCTTTCAAGGCAGCCAATTGAGTCATCAGCCTGCCACCCACCTGACCGTCTGACAGGTAATTAGGAGATAGTCCTCTTTTTGTGCGGAGTGTGTGCGTAAACCTCCACACGCTGGTGTCGCTGCCCATTGGGACTTCCAGAGGAAAGAGCTAGTCAGTGGCAAAAGAGTGAGGAGAGCACGTTTGTCAGACGGTGCCTAATGAACTGACTTGTTTTTTGATTTAGTTCATTATTTTTGTCTTCTAACAGCTACTGAAGTTTCTGGCAGCAAAGTCGTCATGGCAGACCTGGGCTGCAAAAAACCCAGTGACTGTACTGTCTCCAGGCTACTCAGCGTAGTGGAGAGTGAACTCCGGGCTGGGAGAGACAAAGGCGATCCCACTGAGAAACAGCTCCAGGTTGTCTTAGAGGATGCGACGCTCTGGCAGAGATTCAGGGAAGTCACTAATGAGATGATCGTGACCAAGAACGGCAGGTGAGTGATCTGCTCAGCACAGTGGGCTAAGTGTAGGTGATAGCCAGGGGGGTTAAGTGGAATAATAATAACCTGTGTGTGCAGACTGGCAAGAATTGCAATGAGCACTTAACAGTTTATCCCTGCAGCCTTGCAGTCCCCTAAAACCAGCATTATGAACAGAATGGGGTGTCCCTCCTACTTTCTGGTTGCAGCTAAACCATCCCTGCCACCCTTTATTCCTGCTTGTGAAACGTGCTAGAGAAAGATATTGACTGACTTAAGGTTGCACAAAAAGGGAACTTTTGCAAGGGAATAGATGGTACCTCAAAACCTTTTGAATGGCTTCTTGTACTAATAATCATCAGCCTTTATTAGCAAGTCCTTACCTGTAAACCTCAAATTACTGTACAGAAGCAGATTGGTGATGTTATCGCCAGCTGCAGTTCCTGTCTCTCTGGCCTTGGGTATTAAAAGCTTGTACAAGCAGTCTGTACTGCAATGGGCTACAATAAAACTGTGCCCTATGTGGCATGTATGTGCAGTCCGGATTGTGTGGTCCCACAATGGTATTGCTCCATAGTTGTTGCTGGTGCCCTTGGAAACAAGTGCGGAATATTGGTTAACGCACAGAGTTTCAGAAAGACAAAATATTGTGATGTAAATGGATCACGTATCTTACTATTTGGGGAACACAGAAAGGCATAGGAAAAGAGCGCAAAACCTGGTGAGAAGGATACTAATTCTGAATCAGACACTGGCTTGAAGGAGGCTCTCCACAGAGGTTCTGCTCTGAACTGGGCTGACAGCAGAGTCCAGCCCATAACAGACAGGCAACTACTAGAGTAAGATTCACTGGTACAGTGGTACTAAGGTTTTTATTTAATGTGTACCCTCGCCACCCCTCTGCCGCGTGTCTTCCCCACCCCTACCCCCCCA